AAGGAAAAGGTTGGTAGCAGGCCAGAAACATGAGGCATTTGAGGGACCAGATAGTGAAAAAGTGTTGAAAACCAGGAAGAAGTGGGGGCAGGCAGACTTGGGAACCTCTAGTTTTAAGCAAACATTCTGCTTATTTACATGAAGGTGGTGCTAGGTGACCTCTCAGCCTTCTTTTTCTTACTTCTCTGCAAAGGAGTGCAAGAAAAACATTAAATTTCTAATCTGCAAACCAAACCTGTCACCTTATCTGCAGAGTGACAGTGACAAATACTCGTTTGTGTTACTAGGACAATTTACCATGTCAAATCTGATGTCAAATACGATTTTCACAGTACATGTAACAAACTTCCTTCAGCTTGTTGGCAAACCCATTTATTGGGAAAGGAGTAGTGACAGTAATGTATTTTGCTTACACTTTGGGTTCATTGTGCTCCTGCTTCAAACACCAGCGCAGGACAGGAGGTGAAATGCTTGTAGCTGGGGCACCGAAATCTTTTTGTCCCGTGCTGTGGTGGCACAGCGCCACTAACACTTGATGTGCACCTGAACTTATTACTGAGCACAGATGACAGAGAAAGGCTTTGCACATCCTTCATTAGACCCAGAGTGGAAGCTGGGGGTTGCCACACTTTACTAACACTGAGGTGTCCCTTTTCCACTAGGTAGAGGTGTAATGGGGAATCACTGGCACACAGCTGCACAGTACTTTGAAATGGTGACACCATCAGCTTAGTCCTGATTGTCAGGTTGTATGGTAACAGATTCCTCTGCATCACCAAAAAGGACAGAGGAGCAAGGCTGGGTGGGGGACTCCAAGAACCTAATCAGAGAAGTGGAGCCTCCCAGACTGGCTGCTCCCAAGCTCATTTTTTTATTCTTTAGATTAAACCAACATTGTAATATTTTTAAATTATTTTAGTTGCCTTATTTCCCTCATAATTATTTATGATTCATTCATTTACCTCATAAAATCATCTAATTTCTACCTAATTTTTTCCTCAGCACCCCATAAAATTCAAATTTAACTAACTTTGAAAATAAGATTGTGTTTGTGCTAATGTGCAGATATTGGACTTACACACCGTAGCTTGACCGTGGAACCCGTGGGAGAAAAACAAATGCACTGCATTTTTAACTGAACAACCACATATCCTTGACGTCCCATTTCCAGCTGTCTGGATCTCGTCCTCATCTTTAAATGAACAGGTACATTTCACCTTCTTCATTTATTTTTAGCTTTATAGAGCCACATATATTTTGTGCTGGTTTTCATTACGGCTGCTGCATTTGTTTTCATTCATGGACTAACTTCCATGAAACTTGTACAGTTTGTCAGTTAATACAGAGCCTTATCTTGTGTCTAAAACCGGACAGCAAGTATGCCAGGCATTATTTCAAGCCCCGATTATAGGCTGGACAGATGCTATGTGACCATGTTTTGTCTCAAGTACACTAAACAGCTAATCCTTGTGTGGAAATAACAGGCTATGTCACCGCAAACCAAAACTGACCCCCAGATACATACTTTGATCACATTCATGTTTTCTGTGTGGTAATTCCATTGAAAACCTAATTCCGATTTCTGTTAAAGTTTGGGGTTTTCTTCAAGCACCCACTCATGTCTTTACACAAGCCTGTCAGCATCCATCTATGTAAATGTTTCTAATGCAGTCTCTTGCTCAGAAGCATAAAAACCACTGCTAGGAACTTCTGAAGATTTTACACTCAATTTTGAATGAAAAAGTGCTTCTCTGAAAAAATACCTAGAAATTATGACTGGACTGCATAGGTTTATAACAATTTTTATTATGATTATCTATGATAAAATTATTTTTTAATGTGTAAACTGTTGTTTAACATCACAAAAGTTTTTACAGATCACAGAGCAAAACTTCCTGGTATTTTTTGTAAAATCCCCAATCTACTGAAAACTGCATTAACATACATTTAGATTTTACAAATAAATCAACACAGTTCTAAATGCCCAAGATGTTGCAATATTTAAACTTACAATGTATGCTTTAAATATTCAATTCAAGTAGTGTTAAAGGGACACTGTCAACTCTTATGATTAAAACATGGTAATTCTTAACAAAAATAGTCAAAGCCAGTTCTTTAGATTTAAGATGTAACATTTACCTAGTAGTGAACTTCCTATAATACAAAAATAACTCTGAGAGCCTCAAAAACTACTTTCTACTGGATTATAACAGCAGTTTACTAACATGCCCCACCATGGGCTACGTTCGCATAAAGCTCACTTCTGATCCAGGAAATTACTCCCTAGATTTTGGTCAAGGAAAAAAACCCAGGCAATTGCTGTTATCTACATAAACTTAATGGACTTAAGCTGGGCGTAATAGGGCAGTTTGACAGTGATCTGGACATTTAAGGATCTTGCAGCTGCCACTGAGCACAGATTTAAACACCAACTATGGAGAGTATCTTTTCTTTTGAATTGGCATGTCTCTGAGCCTTCTCTCAGGTGCTCAGGCTTCACAATACAGTAAAATCTGCCTACAGGGCTTCTCATACTGTATCAAATAAACCTACAGTTGTGTAACACAAAGTGCTAACATTTGCAGAACTTTAGTAACTGACATACAAACTGGCAGGCTTTGTGACAGAAGAGGTCTCTCTCTGTGGTCTTGCACAGGGTTATCACCAGTGCTCCTACAGCCTTCACAAAACATACAGCCAGACTGCTACTGGTTTTATGCCACAGATGGCTAATTTGAAGGAATTCAATTACTGTTGGGTAATCTGTGACAACATGGCATCATCTGGGTAACTGCTGTATGTTTCAGTGCTCTTGGCTTCATTTATGAGAGAAGTCTACCCACTGATTAAACACTTCTCATGTAATTAATATTACTGTATTATTGTAATAATTTCCACTTCAATTTGAGAAGAAACTTCTTCTCAGTGAGGGTGACAGAGCACTGGACCAGGCTGCCCAGAGAGGTTGTGGAGTCTCCTTCTCTGGAGACATTCAAAACCCGCCTGGACGCCTTCCTGTCTAACCTCATCTGGGTGTTCCTGCTCCGGCAGGGGGATTGGACTGGATGATCTTTTGAGGTCCCTTCCAATCCCTAATGTTCTGGGATTCTGTGTGATTCTGTGATTCTGTGTAATACACTGATGTTCATTGGCTTCTCCAAAAAAGAGACTATGATCTGAGTGGTAGCAGGTCTTTCAAGTTGCTGCTTTGCTACACCCGTTCTGCCCACTTAGAGTTTTGCTTCAGCTTGGAGATAGGCACTGCTAACAAGAACTAGGCACGTCACAACGTATCAGTACAAATCCTGGTGAAAATATATTCAAACAGTAAAGGCAGGAGTGCAGTGATCTGTGAAAGGAGAAGTGTTGCATAAGATACTCTTTCATAATTTTTAGACAGCGATACTATTTATTCTGCAGCTTCTTTTTTTTCCACCAGAATTTATACCTATTAAGAAGGCTATCAGCTTCTATATCCCCATGTCTTAGACAGAACCCAAACTTTGGGCTCACGTTCTGTTGGATATTGTAAGAGGAGGGGGGAAAAAGATTCCCCATAAAGTGAAGTTCAAAGAAGTAAGTTTAAACTCCACTAAAGCTTGGGAAAAAAACATTTGCACTCTTTTTAGGAAAGTATATATGTCTATATAAAAAAATAACATCAGACAGTGTCCTTTTAAAAAAGTTAAATATATATATACTGTTAGAATAATTACACAAACTATGACCACTTCAACAGCTTTTAAACAGCACACATTTCATTTTCATAAGCAAGCTACATTGTCACTTAGCATTTCTCAAAGAATTCAATTTTTTTTGTTGCAACAGAGTCAAGTACAATGCACTTTACTTTTCATAAAAACCATACACAGCAAACACCTCATAAGCAAACAGTAAACAGTACAAGCTACATTCACCTTGTGGTAACAAGTGTACCAGCTGTTTAATCTGGCATCTGCAGTGGACAAGGTGATGTTAAACCCTCCATCCTTCCCCTGCCACAAAGCATTAACAACTGAGTACCAATCCAGTCACGTAAAAATATTCTTAAACACAAATAAAAGCTTTAAGCTTGTCTCAGACCAGATCTCTCAAATTTACAGAACAGCGTACTCTGTAAATAAAATTTATTTTATGAGCTCATCAGAAAAAAAATAATCAAACACATCAAGCAAGGGCGCAATCCACTTTATACAGACTAGTCTAACACATTAATTAATTAGTTCACAAATTCTCTAATTCCTAACTTGCACACCTATAAGCAAAACAGTTCCCTAGCTGACGGTGAGAGTGCTCATTCTTGCTCCTTGGCCATGGCGCAGGGGACACCTGCACCAGGAAGCATGAAAGGCCTCAACAGTCCGTCTGCTGTTGGATCAAAAGCTTTTTGGGTAAGCTGATGTATCTATACCTTCCAGCTTGGAGGTTTGGTCTATAGCATTTCCACACGTTAGTGGATTCTTGCAAAGGTGCAGCAGACAATGAGCAGCAGGTAACAGTGGTTGCAGAATGGCCCTTGCCTCTTTTTGCCCACTGAGTCCTGCGTAGGTGTTGCTCCTGCTTTAACCTAATGGTGCTGGTCACACCAGGTCTTAGCACAAGCAGTGTTAGGCCAAAACCTGGGCAGGAGTTGAGTGAATAGTCACAAACCTAGTGCTACATCAAAAAGGGTTCAGGCATGAAGGTAAAACCTCTCATTTTGGCATCTATGCATCTGTCAGAATTGTAACAAAAATAAAACCATATAGTTCAATCACAATACATGTGCAAACATGCCGTGAAAAAATAGAAAGAAAAATGGTAGCTTTGGCTAAAGCTACTAGCTTACGTACTTTTTATAAAAATAGTAATAAAGTAGGCAAAAATAGGGAGAACTTTTGCAGCTCACCTGTATCAATTTGCCAGCTTTTTACTAATGTGTACTGCTTTTGCTTGTATCAGCACTTCCAGAAGCCATAAGGGTTTTCAACAGGGAACAGATGACACAGAATGCACTGTCCCTAAGAAGCAGATCTCGAATTTGTAATGTGAAGTGCTATGCTTGCAAGGGATCTCATGGCACAGGTAGAAATCTTGTGGCAAACTCCAGCGTGTGCAATGTAGTTGGAAGCTAACCGATACAGCCTTTCTGCCCCAAAGATGTTGAAGTGCCCAGGCAGTACCTTCTCCACGAGGCCTCTGTCCACTAACTCCATGAGGCGCTGGCAGCTCACGACGTAGTCACTTATTCTGCTGTAGGGAAGCCAGTCAATCATGGATCCGTCGTACACCACATCCCCGCTGAACAAAATCTTCTGGTCTTTGTCGTGCAAGCAGATGCTGCCTCTGGAGTGACCAGGCATGTGCATGACGGTGAGCTGTCGGTCTCCAAGGCTGATCACATCCCCTGCAAACAAATGTGTTACAGGAAAATGCTTTTTTGTTGCGTGTATTAAACATCACACAGAGGATGGCCTACCCACACATTGAGAGTTTTTACATACTATGCCTTCACCACAACGGGAGTGGGATGTTTATTTTCCTGGTGAATGCCATCTGAAAGATACACTAGACATTAGGGTGTTTTCCAATGATAGTAACAGTTAACAAAGGTTTGGACTGTATTAATTGAGTCTATTCCCACCCTAATAAACTAAACAATGTGAAAAGAATTGTGATAGAGAAAATAAAACAGGAAACAAACGTACACGTGCAAGCCATGTCTCTCCTTTGAAAGTTTGCAAAGGAAGTGGTTCATGATTTATTGTAATTTTACCCTCACTTAATTTGCCTAGAATTGTGCTGCTGTTACTTTTGAAAGGCAAAATGACAAAACATAAATTGCTGAAGAAAAACCAAGCCTGGCCTCCACAAACCTTCTTCATCTCATTCAATCAGATATATAAAAATATAACTTTCTAAACAGAAGGTATTTTTTTTCCAGTTGAGATGCGAATGCCTTTTTGCTGTATGCGGTGAGCTAAAAACAAGAAGCTGACTCAGCAGATGAATGCCAAGTGAAGTTTTCATTTTCTACCTCTACTTTTATAGCTACCGATAAGGACCTGACTATGCAGCCTGTCAGGATGTTCACATACTGCAGCACTTTCCCATCCATCATTCCCATACTTTATGGCGAGGAGTTCCAAGACCGAGTCATCGTGCCACACACCATGTATGCCGTTTAACCAGTGTTCTGGTCGAGATAACCCAGGCACACAGTGCTTTGTGGAGTTTTGAACGCTTACTTTTAGGCTGGCCCAAGGTCCTGTTATACTTATAGTTGCATCTTTTAAAGATTGCCTTTGTATAAATCCC